CACAGTGCAAGGATTATTAAAGGATTATGTTACCCAGCCTTTAAAAAAAAATCCTTAACTTAGAATTAAATAAATCAATGTAAAAGTGAAACATTCACTCGAGATAGTTGCCAACAACCATGCTAATTAAGCCAATTAAGAGCACAAGAGTCGGAGCTGGAGAGATGGCTCAGCACTGACTGCTCTTCCAGAGGTCCTGAGTTCAATTCCCAGCAACCACATGGTGGCTCACAACCATCCGTTATGAGATCTGGTGCCCTCTTCTGGTGTGCAGATATACATGGAAGCAGAATGTTGTATACATAATAAATAAAATCTTGAAAAAATAAATAAAAATAAGAGTCGCCAGATGGTGGTGGCACATGCCTTTAATCCCAGCACTCGGAAGGCAGAGGCCGGCAAATCTCTGTGAGTTCAAGACCAGCCTGGTCTACAAGAGCTAGTTCTGCTGGGCAGTGGTGGCGCATGCCTTTAATTCCAGCACTTGGGAGGCAGAGGCAGGTGGATCTCTGTGAGTTCGAGGCCAGAGTGAGTGCCAGGATAGGCTCCAAAGCTACACAGAGAAACCAACCCTGTCTCGAAAAACCAAAATAATGAGTCCTTTAATAATGGCCAGACTAAGAGTAAGCTAATGCCTCCAAAATGTTTCTTGAGTGTAGCTCGGGGGTATAGCACTTTTAAAGGCAAAACCACAGTTACATTAGTGGGGTGGGGAGTGGAGTGTCTTTGTAACATCTGTCTTTTTGCACAACTTACAATTTTGTTTTATTCATGATTCTTATTTTAATTTTATGTTTTAGTTTGCACAAACATTAACTACTTTGGTTAATACATCTGGACAATGGTCAGGGTTGACAGTCCTGAAAGTGTTGCCAAGGTGGAAGTGGTTATTGCCGAGTGAGGCTGAAGTATTAGGCAGTGTTGTTTTTAACAAAATCTCAATGGTTCAATTTTACCAATAAAGACCCGGGAGCCAGATGCTGCGGTGAAAGCTGGCTAGCGTAGAGAGGCAGAGAGCAAGCACCCATCAAGTTCCCCGAAGACACCTTTCCTACACAGACTCCAACAACAAACCTCAAAATGAATGTCCCTCCCCATCTACTTCCTGTGCATCTCTCTATCCATCCTCCTGACTCCCTCTTACTCTCTATGGTTTATTCCTGTCAACTGGTTGCTTACTCAGTCTCTTGACCTGTGGTTGACTTTACTTGATCCTGTTTACAATATTCAAACAGGGCCAGGTTGGTGGAGCAAGTCTTTGATCCCAGCACTGGGGAGGCAGAGGCAGGCGGAGCTCTGTGAGTTCGAGGCCAGCCTGGTCTACAGAGCGAGTGCCAGGATAGGCTCCAAATCTACACAGAGAAACCCTGTCTCAAAAAAACAAAAACAAAACAAAAATTCAAACAGAAAGCTCTTGGATTAACACTGTGTGCTAGGACTGAGCCAGAACTAGAAACAGGTTTTTCCAGTAAATAATGCAATCTTGGGGTTCACAGTGTGATCATATATCCTGTAACAAGACAGACACAAAATGGTGTTACCGTAAATTCACTTCAAAAGCATTTTAACTAAAGTAAAAAATGACACGCTAAGGTGGCAGCTCAGTAGCAAAGCATTTCCCTAGGTAACATTTAGTGCATGTGGGTACCAACTACTGGTACCCATATGGGTGCCACCTCATCATCAACATTTTAACCTACTTTTTGAAAATAGAATACATTGATTGACCAAAGCTAACATCTACTTCTATAAATAGAAGCCAGACATAGTGGCACAGGCCAGTAATCCCTGCACTTGAGAGGGAAAAAAACAGAAGGATTAGGAGTTCGAAAGTCACTTGCAGCTATGTATTAAGTTTGAAGCCGGCTTGTCACAGAAACAAACGGGGTGGGGGGTGAGGGATGCATGTTTCGGAAACACAAGGAGTAGGACTGCTATTAAGGCCAATGTGATCTACAAAGCAAGACCCATCTCCAAAATATAAACTAAATTAGAGATACCATATAAATAAATGATGCAGACCAACCTCTATTATAGTGTTGGGCGGGGGCCGCTAAATGAAACTAAAAAGACCAGGGCATGCTTGTAATCCCAGCACTCAGGAGACTAAAGCAGGTGGGCAGCCCCAAGTTCAAGGATAGCCTGCTCTAGTGTGACCCTGTGTCAAAAACCAAGAAAACACATCAAAAACACCCACAAGTTAGGTCTGTAAATGTATTGAGTCTACAATATTTTTAATATTTTTCTGTGTATTTTTTAAGCCTAAAGAAGGAAAAAGAGGAAGCCAGAGAGATGGCTCCAGTGAGTTAAAAGCACTTAACAAGTACTATTTGCAGTACTACACTGGGCAGCTGACAACCACCTGTAACTTATGCCTCTGGCCTCAGTGGGCACCTGCATCCATATAAACATAGCAACACACATAAAAATATACATAATTAAAATGATTGTTTTGGCTTGGTTTTTCGAGACAGGGTTTCACTGTAGCTTTGGAGCCTGTTCTGGAAGTTGTAGACAAGGCTGTCCTTGATCCACCTGCCTCTGCCCCCAGTACTGGGATAAAAGGCGAGCCGCTGCCACCACCACCCAGCTAAAAATGTTTTTAAGTTAAATTAAAATTTATAATTTAAAAATTGGGATTGGAATGAGGAAAAGGGGTAAATGCTATATTTCAATTTAAAAAAAAAAAAAAAGGAGAGAAGACAGACAAAGCTGGCGTTATACCCTGAGCTGAGCAAGGCAAATCACCTTTAATCTCAGCACTCAGAATGTAGCGGATCTGAGTTCAAAATCACCCTGGTCTACAAAGACAGTCCCCTGACAGCCAAGGCTACAGAGTGAGACAGTCTCAAGACAAAAAGTAAGGCCAGAGAGGAATGACAGACACAGAAAGGAAAAGCCCATTTGCATTACAAGTAACTGACAAAGAACCTATAAACAAGCAAATTACCAACACTACAGCACAAAAGGAAATCCTAACAGCAAACTTGATGCTCCGTTTTATCTTCAGCTTCCATCCCTTGTCCAAATGTCTCTGGACCTATCCACCCCAAGTTTGGACCAGTTTACATTCTCCTGAAAGTTGTCCTCTGTCTGACCCCTTTCATTTTCCCGATTTACAGCTTCTCTTCCAGAAACCAGCTTTCGGAGCCAGGAGCCAGAACCCACTTGGATCTGGGTAGCTCCAACCTGTCCTTTTAGTTTACAGAACTGAAGAAGCCTAGCTTTAGCCACAGCGTCTCCTTCCTCCAACACACTAATACAGTCTACTTTGGGGTCAGTTTTTACTCGGGATACATTAATATTTACATAAAGTATCTTACAGTAAATAGTAAACACAACCTTTATTTTGGATGCCAAAAAAATCAATTCACAAACCAAGTAAATATTCATTCCTCACCAGATGCTAGCTTTTATGCTACTAGAGGCCACTACTTCTTTAGCAGGCTTTGGGATCACACCTAGCCAGGACCTTGAACACACTATAGCAAGGGCTCTGAGTTAGAACCTCCAAGCCAACACTATTCCAGTGGCATTTTCTGATCATTTCAATACACAAATTGCGGGCTGGACATGCAAGCTCAATGGTACACCATGCAAAGTCCTGTGCTTCAGGCCCAGTACCACAAAAACACCCTCACATACACAAAGAGACTACTTCTACAATTACAGCTAGACATGGAAAAATCCAACAATTCCTATAGGACACCTCGAACAGGCATCAGAGATCGCTGCGGAGAACTACTGGCTAGTGATCTGCTCTGATTTGTTTTTTTTCTTTTCTTATTTTTTTTTTTAAAGTTTCCATGTCATCACTGGCTTCAACAGCCACCATCCCATCATGTGTTTAAAGCACTAAAGGCCAGCTTTCCAAAAACTGTCTCTTAACTGCCTATATTAAGGACTGGCAAATTCACAAAGTACTAGGACAACCCCAGACCTGCCTCGCCAGCAAACTTTCTTACCCAGGGCGCTACACCCCAATACTTCGGAGCCCCACAAACTCCAAAAAACCCTCCTTTCCTCGCGTGCAATCCTGCGTTTAAAAACTACGTGGTCCCAAGCCGGGCGTTGGTGGAGCACGCCTTTAATCCCAGCACTTGAGAGGTAGAGGCAGGCGGATCTCTGTGGTATCCAGAGCAAGTGTCCTGATAGGCTCCAAAGCTACACAGAGAAACCCTGTCTCGAAAAATCAAAAATAAAAGAAAGAAAAAAACAACCTGCGTCCCAAACCGGAACACCTTTCCCACCTGTTAACAAACTTGCACCTGCCGCCCAAGTTTCCTGCCGTCTTCCCGGGTAGGCACCCTACAGGGATGCCCTCACGCCCCGCCCCCTCT